GGGCAGCAACTTGGGTGGCACCAATGGCGCTGGAAATCTCGGGGAGGTTGAGGAGCAGTTGACCTAGATGCTGGGTGTTTTCTGAGTTCCTGAGTTTCCAGTAAGGAGCATCATGAGTGTAAACTTCCCTAAAACTCCAACGGGAGCCTCCGTCCTGAGAAACCTCCCGTCTGGGAGATTACTGGCTCCTTCCTACCCCATTCCCAAGTTTTCCCAGACCTTCCAGGCTGCCCATTATCTGGCCCCAGAGCCTCCCCATCTTTTTCCTCTCTGGAATTGTTCTTTCCTGGGCCGGGGAGTGGGAGGGCAGAAGCAGGAAAGCCCCAAGGATCTAGAGAGGAGATAGGAAGCCTGGGGGACCCCGTTCTACACAGGCAGAGACAAGGAGAGACCTGGCTGAGTCGTGGAGTCACTTCTATTCTCTGCTTTAGCCAATGAAACCGCCTACCTGTGAGGTCTCATTGCATCCTTGCAAAAGCCCTGAGAGATTGGCACCGCTATCGTCCCCACTTGCCAATGAAGAAACAGTACAGCAAGATTAGGAGTAGCATTCCCAGAGTCACCTGAATGGCTAGTGGTGGAGCTGGGCTTTGAACCTTCTGACTCTGGAAACCTTTTTTTTTTTTTTTTTTGCTGTGCTGCCTCCTAGTCTTTATGTATCTCTCCCTCACAATATATTGTAAGGCTTTCCCTGTGATTCTTATTCTCCGTTCCAGGAAACAGAGTCCCAGAGAGGTTAAGCTACTTGTCTGGTGGCACACAGCTGCCTTCTCAGAGATGGATCTGAGATGTGAATGGCATAGCCAGGTTTGGGCTCTCACCACTGCATCATGCCACATTCCTGATGTGCCTGCTGGGTATGTGGCCCTCTGTGGAGCATGAAGGCAACCTCCACTCTCTGTAACCATTGGTCATGCAGTTCTCTGGCTTCTATTTTTTTTTTTTTTTAATGGTCCTAGGGATTGAACCCAGGGATGCTCTACCACTGAGCTACCTCCCCATCCCTTTCCATTTTTTTTTTTTTTAATATTTTGAGACAGGATCTCATTAAGGTGCCGAGGCTGGCCTTGAACTTGCCATTCTTCTGCCTCACCTTCCTGGGTGGCTGGGATCACAGGCGTGCGCCACCACACCTGGCTGTTCAGTTGCTTCTATTCGCCATAATCTCTCAGAACTGGTCCTGTCTGATAGAAGGTTCTGCAGCTCTTTCCAAAATACAAATCTTAGTTCACCTAATTGAGAAGTAAAAACCTTCACTGCCTCCTCAATTGTTTTCAAGATAAAGCGCGAACTTCTCGGTGATGCCACGCAAAGTTGTAAGTATCGGTCGGACGGTACCTTTCCTCTCCCTCCATTTGCTTCTTTCTTGCCTTTATTAC